TATTGTTAAATCATGACCAAATTTACAATATATCATAGATTCCATTAATGTACATAGGTAGTACATATTCATGTATTTAAATTAATCCACCGATACATACATATGTACATACATATGTATGTACATACTTTATTGCCAAAAAAAATATTTTTATTTCAATTAATTTTTTCGGTGTAACTCATTGGGAAATCTGCGATTCCGTAATGAATTGTGTGTGTTTTTTTTAACACGCTGCCTTTTTTTTTTGTCGGCCACACGCGCAAATGCTTAGGGCACATTTAAGGCCAGCCTTCAATTAGGCTTTTTCTATTAATTTTAGTTTTTTTTTAACCGGCCCTTTAATGGTAACAAAAGCTTCAGGCCAACGAATTTACGCGCTTGGAAACAGAGACGTGGTCGTTAGGCTCGACCATCGAAAATTTTGAATAAAATAAAAAAAGAAAAGAAATTAATAAAAAAAAAAAGAAACCAAAACTCGAAAAATGGAAAAGTAAAAGTTGCCCGATTCTACAGATGGCCCAACAGCACCGGAAGTGTTAACACAAATTTTCGCAAGCTGGCCTTTGACCATCAGCAATGGATTGTGTGGATAGTCGGCTAGAAGGGGTGGGGTGGACAATCGACGGCGACTTGTCGTGGCTCAATTAGCAAATGCCTACAAGCTGCGTTTGGCAGTTACCAGCGGCTGGCTGCCGAGGCAGACCCCAATGGACATGGACATGGCCATCATTATGGCAAGGTACGGCATGGGACTTACCAGAAGCCAACGTCCGCTGCCAGCTCGAACGAGTGTGCCCAGAGATCGAAGGGATCGTTTGACGAACTGCGAGCATACCCTGTACTTCGGTTAGGGCACAGGACACATGCTAGCAATGTGACCAGCTAAGCACATACATATGTACATAATATGCATATGTAAGTAAGCCTCGACCTAACACCTGCGTTAATCAAAGAGTCTTTATAGAAAGTCCCTTTCCTAGAGATATCCATCAGCTGTGACGAACCTTGAGGCCAGCTGAGCATACTCTGGACTGACTGGATGGCCCCCGTAGAAAACTGGAAAAACTAACAAATGCCAAGCAACAGGCATGCGGCAGCAACATCCCAGACACTTGTTGGCCCAGACTGCGAAAAGTGCTTACAACCTTTTTTCATCTCTTGCTGGTTGAGTGTATTGTGTTGTTTCCTTCCCGGTTTTCTTGCGAGACAATTGATGCGCGCGCTTGTGTCCAACCGACGGACCGACCGACCGTCTGACTGACTGCCTTCGCCTGGGGTAGACCATCAGCATTCCCATTCCAATTCCCTCTCGCATCCCCCCCCCCCCCTCCTACCTTTGGCGTCTGCCCGTTACATTGAAATGTTTAAATTTGTTTTAGCAGCCTTGTCCCGGGTCCGTGTTGTCGTGTTGTGTCGTGCCTGCGTAGGGAGGAATTCTCATCTGGCCTCTTATAGCTCTCATCCTTTTGACCAAGAGGCCTAAAAAAAACTTATTCTCAGCCATTCATACGAACATATATCTAACGTATATCTGGCTACATACAAATATACTTACATACATATGTAAGTATGTACGTGTTGTCGGGCTGTCTGTCTGGGCCGCAGTACTGATGTCCAAAAGACATTAGTTCGTAACTTAATTAATGTTTTTGTGTTAATTTCCAAAAACCACAACAAAAATAGAAACCAAAGTTAAGACAAACTCAAAATGTTCGACAACAGTAAGTGGAAAAAATTAAACGGAAATTTAAAAGAAACCAGGAGGAGGAGCGTTGTGAGTTGCTTCTGTTGCCGCGACTCTACATTTATACCCGTACCCAGTCGTATGTGTATGTGAGCTTATGATTTATGTGGAATTTTCAGGTATTTTATCTGTTTACATTTTTTTTGCTACATCTGTCATCTACATCTGCAACGTACGGACGACGGACGGGCGGACGGACAGACATCGATCAAGAATATATACTTTATGGAGTCGGAAACTTTTCATTCTCTGCGTTACACACATCCACAGCACCAATATACCCCTTAACTCTTCGAGTACGGGTATAAAGAAAACAGCAATAGCTAGGCAATTCAAGCATGGAAATGAATGAATGGATCCAGAATTCAAATTTCAGACCTTACAGAAACACCATTTCATACATACATACATACATGTGTATATTTATGTATGTACATCTGGCTGAGAGATATCGATCTCTGTTGTTGGTCGGGCCTACAACCGTGTACGAGCTCTTGGGAGACTCTTCGGCTTCCCAGAAATATCCGGACCACTAAGTGACCCAAATGACAAAAATTATCAACATCTTTGACGTTTCTAATTAAAATGGAGCTTACGGTAGCAAACAAGTCGGCTGAAAAAGGGATCAAATATAAATTTAAAAAATTTGATTTGGTTCAAAGAAAACTTAGATTTAAAGCTTTTCAAAGAGTGGCTGATGAATTAAAGCAGAAAAGCTGAAGCAGAAAAATTAAAAGATGCATAATTCATAATGTCGTTGCAACGTTAATTTCCAAATACTGCCTGATTCCGACCACTTTCGGATACTTTTTGCCGCTGCACCGCAGTGGCGACGCACAGTGGGGCCTCAGCCAAAAAAAGTTGGCAAAAGTTAAAGAAGAATTTGAGCGCTTTGGATGGCAAATATTCACCGGAATCAAAGAATTAAAGTTCACCCATAACTATTTATTGTGAACCTTCTGGACATTGTAGCACCATAATTTGGAAAATTTTCCTTTCAAATGCAGTTTCTGAATGAAGATATCTTGATTCGTTTAGAAGGCGACGGCGCCAATTGCCAAATGCCTACATAATGGTTTCGCTTATGGACATTGGTGTCATAACGTAAGTGGTTTTGGTCTATCCTATGTACATATATACATTCGTACATATATATGTATGTATACATACATACTTTTTTTGGGTCTGTTAACAGGTTAAGTGACAAGAAGAGTGTTTATTAAAAGCAGACAATTAGTTGATCACAGTTATTTCTTCACTTTCTTTGTAATTTCTTTGCTTATAGTAGAGATACATATACAGACACGGCTTATTTTGACGATGACTTGGTAATTCAGTTGAACTATAGGCTGCCCTACCTTAGAACACCAAGTGAAGTCATTGAACAAGCCATTCCTGCAAGGCGTCGACCGAGGAATACCCACTACTCCACTATGATTTCGAAATCGTTTTGTTAGATTTGATTGGAGGATTTTTACAAATATTCACATTTTTGTTGTTGCTCGACAGTTAATCCACAAGTACAGAAATACAGAAATAAGTCAAAAGTCCCTATATCTACAGCGTCTGATCCGATTCAGTAATACATGTATGTATACCTTAATGTATAAATTTACATGTACACATGTATGACCATCCTCTTGTCCGATAAAAAGCCATTTACTCCCTGGGATACCCAGCACAAAGTGTGTGCACACCCCCCTGCTGAGCCACTGCACATCGCACACCGCACACTCCACAGAGACCACTCAAAGCTGCTTAAAGACATCGCTGTCGACGCATTTGGCCGTCTGCGTTTCTGGCGTCGCCGGTGCAGGTTTTTCCTTTTGGCCAGCTTCGTGAAAATGCATTAGACGGTAGTATGATTTATGCCTGGCATCCGAGAACAAAAAGAGGCCACAGATAAACCAAACCAAACCCCCATATAGAATTTTCCCATTGCTTTTGCAATTTGCGTTGGTTGTGAGTTTGCCTCTACATTTGGCCCCGAATTGATTATTCCGGCCGGACGGACCGAAAATCCATGTTAATTTTTCAAGTGCTTTATTGTCTGGCCAGAGTTCAAGTGGTTCTGCAGCATTTTGTCTATAATATTTAAATGTACATATGTACTATACATACATATGTACATGCTCTTCTATTCAGGGGAGATGAGATATTACGCATACTCATGGTAAGTGTCCCATAAGCGTATATATATGGATGTATACCTGTTCGTCCGCATATACCAACCTTTTAGAATTACTATCAGAAGGCGTCCGTCCCCCTGATTCACAACTTTTTTCTATTACCCTCTAAATGAGAAGAGAGTGAGAGAGACTGTGTTGGAAGGCATTGACAGGCTTTTGTTTCGTTGAAACAAATGTCAAGTCAAGTGAAGCGGCATAGCTGAGTGTGGCTGTTGCAAACGCCTTTCGCAGGAAAGCGGCCAAATAGATTCGTGTTTGTTACTCGACTGACGACCCACAGAGAATGCACGTACCAGAGACATGTTCCTCCACTCCAACCCAATCTCGTCTTAAACTCTGTTTCATGGCCCGCCTCAGCGGCAGCCCAAGTCAAGTCAAGTCTGTCTGATGAGGTTCTAGTGCGCCGCGTTTTTCATAATTCACGTGCAATTAAAAGCAGAGAGGAACAGCAACAAAGAAGTGGCCAGGCCAACTCGCTTGGCAACCAGTTGAAGAATTAGAAACTAAACATTCGGTTCATACAAATAAAACTCACGTCGGGTCTGGTCTGAAGGCTGCTCTGCTCTGCGCTGCGCTGCTCCGCCTGATGTTCATTAGACGACGCATGCTCAGGTAGGCCTACATTTAATGTAATTATCAATGATTAATGAATTGCTTGAGCAAACATTGTGTCTATATACATATACATATATCGAGAGCGACTGCGAACCATTTTCCAAACCGAAATTAAAACAGCGGCAAATAGCGGCAAACGGCAAACTTCCCGCCTCCGAACAGGTAGCCCGTCCTTAGCCCTATGCCGAATCATAAACCTAAGCCTATTCCTATTCCTATTCGAGAGAAATAAAATAGAGGTAAAATAAAATTAACAAAAATTAACACAAATCCTAGAGACGAACCGCTCTAATTTCTCTTCTACAATTAGCGACCTGGCACTTTTGCCATCCACTCGAGAGTTTCAAGTAAAAACACTCGGACACTGAGGTCGAGAGGAGTTTCCAGATCTGGGGCGGTAACCATGGCTTAAGGAACACATAACTAATGATTGGAAAACGATTTCTTTGTAGTTACTGCTGCTGCAATCAATTAACCGGCGTGTGAATATCGGAGAAGTTAGCCGAGTGTCTGACGTTCACGCCCAGACCATGGCGTCATTCATCCCCAGGCCCATACCCATTCCAGCTTTGCCAGCTCCATCTTCGGTTCGTATGCGGGTCGAAATCGCCAGCGGCAGTTCGAGCATACATATACAGTTCGTATCGATATGTATAGTATAAGAAAGCGAAGTAAATTTAATTTCAATAATTTGAATTTGAATTTCAAATCACCCTAGCAACACCTATCGATATACGCATGCCACCACCCCCCTTCTCTTCCCAGACAGACACGCGTCCGTGTAAGTGTTTGATTTTTCAAAGCCAAGCTACGATTATTCATCATTAGAGTTGTCCACATAGAGACGGGGACGGAAGCCCCATTCCCTCAACTATCAAGAGAGCCATAAGTCGCAATGAAGGGTGGATGATCTCCCAGAGACCCAGAAGTAAGCATAAATTAAACAGATCATGTAATAAGAATATTATAAGAATATTATATTATTATTATTCTATTCACCAGTAGACACAGCAAGCTTGGAGCCCACTGGCCACCGCCAATTGGAACTGAAAGCTTACAGTCAGGATTTGGCCAGCTTGTAAAAAGCTTATAAAAATGTTGCGACATAAATGGTGAGATGATAATGATGCTTGCCCCTTGCAGCATTTACCAATGTAACCTCAGCAACAAAAAAAAAACTTCATAAAATCTCAGCTCTACTCATGCCTCTTTATGTATGCCTTTTGGTTATGTATTGCAAATTTTTCCTTCAGTCTGATTCTGATCATCCCGAATTGAGAGCACAGCAAATTTGTGTGTCCAACATTCCCTCACCAAAACTTGACGGCAAAGTTGTCAATGGAAAATCTAAAAGAGCTATACTCTTTGGTAACCCTAAGGGCTGTACGCGTCAAGTTTTATTTATTATCTATTACATGTTTCTTACTATGGCCCAATATCGCTGAATTGACCGAAGCTCTGGACAATAACTTTTTGGTAGTACAATCCGCTGGCTTCCGTCACCTTTGGTCGGATGCGGCCCAAGAAGCAAAGTGTTGAGTGCTGAAAGAATGTGCGTCTTTGAGGTAGCCTCCCAGTCAGTTTCAGTCAGCAAATACGCATAACAAACGCAATTAAATTTTATAAATATTTAAAAGATCCATTTACATACTCGATCCACACGCATAGGCCGACTTAGGATCGGATTCGTGGTTCGAGAATGGGGTTTGGGGGGTTGGCGAGCTCACTGGTTGGGGAACTTGGGTGCCGTACCGATCATGTGGCGAACGAACATAACCAAAATCGAAAGGGGAAGTCATCATAGAACACACTGACAGACAGACACTCACCAAGCACAGTGCGTAAAATAACTTTTTTATAGCTTTTGAATTAAATTATGTTTTATACGATGATTTTTATGTTTCGGTTTCAACTGGAATATGAACCAACTTGATTTTTAAGGCTTATACGAATATACATAGATGGTAGAAGTGGTCGGTGATGGTGGACAGGGACAGAAACAGAGACAGGGGCTAATCAAACGACAACAGGTTGACAATGAAGGGCTCAGCCCAGCGCAATCTCGGCTCTGATTCGGTTATCCACTTGAGACTCAAGGCACCAGCACAAAAGTTTTTTTGTTTTTTTTTGTTTGTTTGGCTTAATTATTTACGTATGTATTTATTATGGCGACAAGCAAACCTGAATACATAATTATAGAGTGCCGGACGAATGGTGTATGTTTGTTCATGTTTGAACACATTTCCAAATGGTTTTTGTTTTTGTTTTTTAATTGGCTGGAATGGATTTGAAAGTTATTTGCGTTCAGAATTTAATTAAAAAGACGACGCACAGTGGGATCCAAGTCAAAAAGAGGTGGCAAAAGTCGAAGAATTTTGTGAACGTGTATCTTCGTGTATCCAGCATCTGATAGAGAATATTTTTTAATTAAAAAAAAAGAGGTCCATTGTTATTCTTGTTATTCCTTCCAACGTAGATGGCTATTTAAAAATACAAATTTGGAAAATTTTCTACAATACACTATTTTGTTGTATATTTTTTAAACTATACAAGATTAAAAATAAAATTCAATTTTAAATTCAAATATGCACCGCTGACAGACCGAACTAGGACCAGGGTTGAAAGCCAATTATTGTGTATGCATGTGTGTATGTGTGTGTGTGCTAGCCCACTTTTGACTTGTATTAGGTCCATCTTAATGGCTTCAATTAGGTCCCGAGACAACCGAGCTGCGATGGGCGATTGGCTGTGAATGACTGAGATCGATAGGTTCGCCCTGAGGGTTGTGATTATTTTTGAATCGGTTACACTATCAGTTCGACTATGAGACTATTACCGTCCATTTGGTATTTACCTTAATATCAATTTGTGTCATTGGTTTGGCCTCAGCTAGAAAGATACCTCATCCTCCTCCCATCCGCCAGGCTTCTCTATGACTACCTGGACTTATTAATGGGTCACAATACCTGCGGTTCCCCAACATTTAAATACGTATGTACATATGTATATGTATGTACATACAAAAAACTAAAATAAAAACAGACAAAATGGGGAAAAAGATATCCATTTTATTCGCGCTATTTTTCAATGCAAAGTGATCTTCATTCACAAAACTCCAAAACTCTTTTTTTCCCTTTATTGCTATTATTTTTTGTTTTTGGCATGGCTGTCCACTCCAGCTCTCTGGCGCGCCGCAGCTTTAGCTCGAAAGCTCTTTCCGCAAGCCATCAGCCTCGACATCCTCATCACCACCTCCTCAGCTCAGCTCAGCCCATCCCATTCCAACGCCATTCGCATCATCCGACCCGCGGTCACCTTATCATCTTTGTATTACTTAGCAAATTAATAACCATAAAAATCTTAATGCCCAGGCACTAAAGAAACAAAATCTTCAGCTTTCCTGCTGAATTTCTTATGAAAAACGTTTTGCAAACCAAAAAAATCTCCACAGAAAAAAACCCAAAATAACTCAGAAGAGACTACGACTGAGTAGGTTCAGCAGCAACAACAGAAAATAACGAGAAAAGCGCATTTCGGGCGTCGATGCTGCATATACCCTTGCATATACCCTTACTATATGACTTAGTAATCCGATCTTGTCGGATTCAACTTAAGCAACGAGGTATAAGTACATGTATTTAGATATTTCAGCCAATAAGCCTTTTCAAGCATACATATGTACACTGTACAACTAATCAATATCACTGTACCATAATCAATGCGTTTAACTGCGCTGCATGAATCTGACAAAAATCATAATAGCCTCTGGAAGGGTATAAACAACAAATTCAAAATAAATACAACGAACCAGAAGAGGAAGATAAAAAATAAGAAGACGCAGGAAAAAAAAAAAAAAAAAAAGGGAAAGATCAACAGAAGAAGTGCCGCCATTTAAATTTATTTATTTACGAGTGTGAACTTTATGCCCGTGGCGTTCGATTCGACTTACCCGGCCTCCCCGCTATCCCCATACACCCCCTCCGCGACCCATTCAAGGCGACGCCATCGTTGTCAATGGCAAAATGTGTGACGATCGCCAGATCCCAACTCGATCTTAGTTCGCTTCCTGCCCCAAAAAACCTCAGCAACCTCAGGAGGGGAAAAAGTTTCGCAGTCCGAAGCCTTTGATACCCTCAGCTTGCTATGGAAGCTTCCAGAAAAAATCTTCTTCTTTTTTGTTCAATAAAAACTTTCACTCTGCGAAAAGATATCCTAAAGGTACTATCAAGGGATGCATGGGATAACTTTCTAGGTAGCCAGAGGGGTCTGATCAAACAAGATAGATATGTACATATGTACATACACAAGCCATACCTATACACATATACTTACCAATGTATATTTGGAAAACGAGTTAATCTTATCTTATTTACATCCCAGCAGACACAGAATCAGCAATCTGAACCCGGCTTTGCTCCTTAAGTCCGATCTAATTTTCGGTACATTTTCCATAATTAACTCTTCTTTTCCTCCACTTCTATAGCCAAGGCACGATGCTTATTCCTTTCTCACAGACATCCCATTTAGATGCGCTTCATTCACAAATTATAATTATTCCCCATAATTATGGGGAATTGCTTCTAGCTTTCGTTATCATCCTCATCTTCACGATTGTCGTGGACTTCGTAATTTGATTCCAGTTAAGATGAAATGAAATAAAATCTGATCCTAAAAACCAAATCCGCAAAAAATATAAAATAAAAAGCAAACTCCTCCAAACTCACACATCTTTTTGGCGTTTCCTTTTGAAATGTTCGACGATTAAGACGGCGTCTCCACTGAAGTCTTTTAAGCCCGATATTCTTGGACAGGCGACCATTTTGACATTTCCCTTCAGAAGGTAGTAGAGGAAAGGAACTGGTTGCAGACACAGTTTTTTTTTTGTTTGGTATGGGTACCAATTAAAAGCTAGATGGCTTAGCTTACTGTCCTAACTAAATTGATTGCGTCAAAAAGAAAATTGTATCAAGACTTTGGAGAATTGGCAGCTCTTCGTGAAAAATAATGAAAGAATTGTTATTGAAATTATCAAGTGACGATTAAATTTACTGAAAGTCGAATGCTGTGGAAGTCACCATAATGTTAATTTTTGATAAAGATAAGCAAACCTAAATTGAACAAACATGAGTTTCATGTATCCTAATTTACATAACATGATCAGAGTCGGTGTATCTGTGCAACGATCATAGAAATTTAAATTTCAGACAACTGCCATTCAAATAGTCAGTCCAAGGACGGACTTTTGTTCCGATTTAATTTTTTTTGTTTTGTTTGTTTTAAACGAATCTAATAATAAAAAATATAAGTATATTCTGCCAAATCAAATTAATTACAAAGCTGGAATAGAAAGTTCCCATTGGGAAGAACCATAACCTTGTACATTAAAGAAACTTCGCACATACATCTTTATATACATATGTATATCTGTTAGCCCAGAACTCTCCTGGTCCGATAGAAGGTGAGAAGATTATTTTTGCCCCACAAAATGGCAAATTCCCCTTGCCCAAAAAGGCTCAAAACCAACCCGTTTCCGAGCCGCACGTGCTGCTGCTTTGTGGTCAGTGAATATTATTTGAACATTTTTATGCCCATACTCGAAGAGTTAAGGGGTATATTAGGTTTGTGAAAAAAGGTGGATGTGTGTAACGCAGAGAATGAAACGCCCGCCCCATCTGAGAAAACTAAAAACGCAATATCGTAAAGAATGGCCTTATCTACCAGATTGCTGAATCTGGGCTAGATTGGACTATTAATAGCCAGAATGAAGGAAGTATGTCAATTGCTACCCTGCGTGTGCCACCCCAGGCGGCGAAGATGTAGAATCAGCATTTTAGATGTAGATGTAGATGACAGATGTGGCAAAAAAAGGTTAAGCAGATAAAATATTTAAAAATTATATATAAATCACAAGCTAACATATGTACTGACTGAGTACGGGTATAAAAGTAGAGTCGCAGCCACAGAAGCGACTTACACGTTTGCTTCGTTTTGTCTACTCGAAGTTGGCTTTTTTATGCTCATAATATATGCGACGCCTCAAACAATTCATTTGCATACGAAATGTTTGGAATGGCATTGATTTGACAACGCGGTATGAAAAGATAAGCCAATA